CATAATAATTAGTAATTAATAAGATTTATAAATCTACCAGTTATTTTAAATAATTACTGAGTTGTGCATTTATACGAGGAAGGATTATAAGGATTGTGAAAATAGTTGCCAATAATAATGTTATTCGATTTAATCTCATTTTAATAGTTATTCAATATACTTGAGAGAAGCATTTAACTTTCGTTTATATATCTTCTTTTCTTTCTCATTCTGATCGTTTAATTATCTGTTTTCGTATTAGTTGCTATTCATTCAGAAGCGTTCAATTAAAAATGGTTACACGATCATATTAAAATATATCAAATGGTTTCTTTGAGCTAAATACCAAGGATTTCATTTTTTATTTCCTTCCGTTTTGTAACACATTTTGGTAAAAATGCCAATATGGTGGTGTCCATTGTTTGCACTCTCTCGCTTATTTTGGTGAGATAACATCCGTCATAATATAAATGGAGTAAATGAAAGTTTGGAAGTTTCCAAACGTTTCACAATGTTAACTTTATTAATTAATATTGACAATGGAATGAGACAACGTCTATCTAACTTGTAAATATGTATAAACTGTATAAATCATGTGATCATAATTATTAATTAAATATATAGGCATGCAATTTAAAAATCATGATCTTTGACGGGATGGATGGATGATTTAAAACGTCGAGGGATTTATATAAAGCTATTTGGATAAATGGTGATGATAAGATTGCGGCATTGAAAATTACATAATTACAAAAATGGTTTCTGATTATTTCATTTTGTTATTATGTTTTTTTTCGTTGTGTATAATATATATGTGTGTGTGTAATAAAAACATAATTAAAATATAAAGCAAATTTTTTGTCTATTATCAAATTATTGGTTAAATACAATCATCCCAGTCAGTTAATTATGTATATATATTTGGAGTACTGCCAAAATGTCATACCATAGATAACCCTATTGCTATACAATGGCATTAGATATATATTTGATGTCTGATAGAAATTTAGCAAGTATTACGTTGAATTAGCATGCAAATGCCCCAAATCGTCTATCTTATGATTATTGGTTTTCGATATATACTGTATATAGAACATTTAATCGTGATTATTATTATAATTATGGAATTGTAAGGCATCAATGTCCTAAAAAAAACAAATCAATGAAAGAAATTTCGATAGAGTACATAAAATTGAATTTTGTCCTTCCCAATATTTACTGCAACAATCACCAGATTGTTAAAATTCAAACAATTAATTTTAAATTAATTGCCTAATTGAATTTATAAAAAATCTTGTAATTTGTCCAGAAAATCTCAATACTACTTACTATTTACCAGAATGGGTTCACTTTGTTTACAATTTGTTTACATAATAATTTATTATTAATGTTTTACAATATTATCTATCTATTTTTTTATCACTAATAAAAATTATCAAAATGATATTTCTATAAACACTAACATTTAAATGAAAGACAAGCAAGATCATGTAGTTCACAGCTATTAACTGAATATGGTCTAGATTAGGTGAAGGTGGCTTTGTAACTATCATTATTATGTTTTGCTTATATATATTTTTTTTTCTGTAGTCCTCCTAATGAAACAAGATCATATGTAAAGCTACTTGGATAAATGGTAGGAAATACGACAAAAATCCGATAATTCACAAAATATTTCTTAATGATATGATTTAAATTAGTAAATCTTGTAAAATTATATTTAGCTAAAACAAAAAATTTATTAGCTTAACTGTTTAAGAAAATGTATCTCATACAAGCAGATCCATTCTTTGAACTTGGCAATATATTCTTAGAAAACTCGGCCGAAGATAGTAATTTGTAATATTTTTGTTTAAATGGTTTTCCAAATTATATATGTATATATATATATTAAGTGTAGCAGACTGAGATTGACAATATTAAGGGTGGGTAAATTATTTTCAAAATAATAATAATTCTTTTTAGGCTCAAGTCAAGTTTCATAATTCAAATTATGGACTAACACAAGACCTGATTACGTAAAGGTTTACAAATTCTATCATGGGATTCATTGCGGTTTCGAAGCAGTTTTAGGAAACAAGCATCATTTGTATCACTAGAAATTTCAACAGATAAACCATATTAGTATACAATGTTGACTCAATCCGTCTGCTATTTGGCACATACGCGATTTCAGTCTTGAAGATATGTGAAAGTATAAGATCTGACTGAATAACATACCAAAATTTATATTTTGAATCAGCATACAGATGCATGGATGCGACGGGTTCGAACAATCATCACTAAAAATTTTGATTCGATCCAAATACACTAGCTGCTACATGAACATTTCTCTGATGTTTTTATTAAATTAATAATTAAAAACATAAAACTTTGTCCGGAATTTCTTTGACAAAAAATACTTTTCGCTTTAAAAACACATATAATAATAATCTTATCTGAAATCTCAAGTAAACAAGCATAATTTTTAATACAAATCTTTCGAAAGTTTTAGTTTTAACTGAAAGTCGACGTGACGAATCATCAGTCTTCTTTTATACTCAACTACGATATATCTAGGATTCTCGTCCCACGCTATATTAAAAAACACCTTTATGAAAAATATCCTCACAAAAAATCGAATTGGCCGCCTTAAGTTGATAAACAAAGAAAATCAAAAACACAAGAGGATATCTATGATTCAGTAAAAAGGATAGCTTTGCTTTACTAAAAAAACGACAAACATTCCGATGTTCTATCCCAAATTACTGGTTTTAGTTTGGTTCGAATCCGAGTGTTCGGATTGGCCAGTCCATCTGCAGCAAGGTTAAATTCAACTTGTAAATTACAGGTTATTTGTTATTGTGATCATTAATGTTACTGCATGAATTTAGCTATATGCACGAGATCTCTTTTTTATTAATAACCCGCAAAATTATTTTATTTATTCATTTTAAAAAGTTGTGTTCTTTGAATACGAAAAAATTACGTTTTTTATAAGTGAATAATAATAATTATTATAATCATGATTGGGCTTGAACCATTTTATTTATACACACCATCACAAACATGAAAATATTTATTTATTTTGATGTAAACATCATCCTTTTTTTTCTTTGTGGAAAAAAAAAAAAAAAAAAAGAAATTTCATTTATATATTTTTAAAAATTTGCTGAATAATTTAATCACCAGACCAGATGTATGCATTACATAAATGATTAATTTATCAATACAATAATGATAATAAATCCAAAAATACGATTTCAATGAAGTATAGAAACAAATCATCAACTTGATAATGGTTCCAAAAACAACCAATACGGTAAAAGAACTTTCTTATTCTTGTTTATCGACACCGGATTAACAAACAGAGTTTGTGGCTAGAGAAATATTTGTTTACGAAGTCTTTGAGATTCTTTTTGGTAAATTCATTTGTTTATTTTGAAAATTTTTCTTTAAATGAAGATAAAAAACTATAAAGAATTTCTATTGATGTGAAAGGTGACGAATATAGATGACGAATATCCAGGTGAAAAGAATCAAATTAAGCGGGAATCTCTGAATTGCAATAGATTTAATACCGACTTTTTATCTGCCAATTATGTGATACACCGAAGATGAACTAGTGGTGATGAAACAATAGACAAGTTGATCAAAGGTACCCGACTTAAAAGCAACAGATTATCAACTAAAATTATCTTGATGGACTCCTTATGAAAATTTAAAAAAATATTGAATAGATATTAATCATATATGCTTGATTTTTTCTTAATTCATCGGAGTACAAATCTAAATTTACCAAATATTTAGTTTACGTGTAACGTGACACCCAACACTGCATTCTGCGGATATATTAATATAGTCATGCGGACAACGGCCAAATTCCCCCGTAAAATAAAATAATAATAACTCTAAATTTGTAACTGTTACACAATGAAGTTTCAAATATTGGTAATTTTATATTGGTCGGGAAATTGGAAAAAAAAAAAAATCAAACGTTTTAAAATGGATAATTTTTTTTAAAGGTTAAAAAGTGGTTTCAGGTTTTGGATTATCATTAGCATATTTGGTATCGACATATATTACACCAAATATGAAACAGTATACAATTGCACCAGATATATATATATGGAATTGAAATATTGATGAGTCAAGAGATGTGAAGCACAAGATTTGAATTCTCAAACAATTCACCAAATTTTATGTTGAATTAACGTAGATGTTAATTCGGATAAACATCCATTTGATGATGAAATCCAAGAAATTATTGAATTTTGATAATGAATTGATGGAATAAAGATTCTAAAAGAAAAAAAAATTGATCAAATGCCATTTATACCAACAAGTTATCAAAATTTAAAAATCTTCCTCGATCTGTTAATTCTAACAATAATTAGTAATTATAATGGTAATCATAACTATATTAATATGTATAATAATAAATTGGTTTGGATAAATTATACTTGGATATAGTGCAACAAAACCAGACAAAGTGAACATTTGTATTACTAAAGAATTTCAGGGATCAAAATTCAGTCATCACCATTGTAATGCCATTTTGTCACCTTCCCTGTTTCTTAAATTATATATAGAATTACTCCTATATAAAAATAATGATACAAAACTCATTTACATCAGATCTACTATGGAACTCAAGTATTTTGTAGAAGGAATAAGAAAAAGAATGCCTTTTATGTTTTTAAAATAAAATAATTGCACATATTGGCATATTCATTACTATATTTATTTTATTATTTATAGTCATAAATATTTAAAATTTTTAAAATCGTTAAATTGTTTGGTTACAGTCAATCACCCAACATAGTAGTTGAAAGATAAAAAAAAACAAATCCAGTACATGTTCATAAAATTGCAATTCCATTCAAGTTGATATTTCTAAAGAAGAGGTTAAACAATTTGTTTTTTAGTATTAGACCTGGCTTTTCTTGTATGTACTGCCACCTGTTTAAGGAAAAAAAATAATATAATTTCAGTGATCAGTTGCATGTTTTTTATTTATTGCTTCATTTTTTACAAACTTCCTATTCTCCTTTGCATATTTCAGCGCAGATGCAAAAATAAATTTGGCGTTCTGAATTATTTCCTAAAAGTGTAATAAATAGTCTAGCATGCCAATAATAAATTGACAACACCATTATACGAGACAAAAAAAAGCAATACTTGCCTTTATGAATATAAAGTTACGACATGCATCTCCAATGTTATAGAGGCTAATTTTATAATAATCTGGGATGGTGAAGCTTGATATTTCATCTGCAGCCCATATTCCATCTCCCAAGTAGAAAATAACATGCATCTTTATAGTAAATTCCACAATACAAATACCCACAATTGGTATTTCTTTTAATGCTTTGTTCAAATTTGCATCTAAAGTTCCACCTGTTGCTTCAAGCAATGCCTGTGCACATGCTGAATGCTGGTCTCGACTCACTTTCATTACTTTCATGAAGGCCATCCTTGATCTCAAATGGTGAGATTGTACTTCTGGTCCTGAGTTTTCTGCTATTCCAAACTCTCTTCCATGCTCAACTGATGCATCACGAAGTTCATGTGCCTAAAAATGAGAAGAAAATTATTATGTCATGACTAATAAAAGTAATCCAAAATAACTAACTGCTTTGATAATTACAGCAAAGATAAAGTCTGAGTGTTGGCCAACATTTTTAATCCCAAATCTTCGTTTACAAGCCCCAGATGCAGATGATATTAATTCACCACTGTAAATATATAGATAATTAATAGAAGTCACAATAGAAATATAGTAATTTGGAAGATTAAATTACTAGTGATATTCAGTAACAGGTCGAATGATCTCCATGAATGGCCTTATAAAATGTATATCTACACTTCGTTCTCCACCTGGTGGTATTCCCAATTGTACATTTTTAACACTATTAAACAATAAGTTTATTATTAGTACAGACAAAGTTATCCAACCAAACCTCATTAAACACAATAACTTGGAAAATCAATTTTATGACTGGATCATCTGCATGTGATTCAGCCAGTTTTTTAGCATCCAACCAGATATCATTATCATTACCAGAATGTGGTTTTTGTTTCCTTAATAAATCTATTAATGAATCATTTCCTTTTTTTTAAGATCTAAAGTTGAATGTATTCCATTTACAGCCCAATTATTTCCAATCTCAAGGATTTGATCTATTGTCATCTATAGTAAAAGTAAATAAATATTGATTGAAATACAAAAGATAAATATGCCATACACACATTATCAAATAATATTTAGTAATTGTTCGGTGATAGGACATGAAATTTTTGATACACAATCTTTTAGATTATCATAAGGCTTAGAAATAATTTCGATTTGGTCACTATTTAAAACTTCATGAACTTCTTCCATAGCTTAAACCAAACCCTGTTAGAGGTAGTCTCAAATCAAGTATTCTCCAAAATATGGGGCTACAAATATAGAAACAAAAAAATACAAGATGAATGTTTTGTAATAATTAATATAACCATATTTCAAATTAACTAATCAGAATTTTGTATCCAAACACCCCACCCCAAAATTTTTGCACAAATTTGATTTCAACTCACAACTATTGAAAACCATCAGCTAAATTTCGATATTTTTTTATTAAATTTAATAGTTGGTTCCATCCAGTCAACTTTGTAATTTTTGGGTAAAATTTTACACTCTTCTGTTAATGCTTCCTTATCAATACCACCATAATCCGCTTTCCCATTCTCATATTCTATATTAACATGAAATTGCTGGATTTTTGTACATCATAAAAAACCAAAGATTAAATTTCATTAAAAATAAAACAGCCTAAGTGAGGATAATTTACTTAGTTATAGCTGTAACGATTCATGCTCATTTTCGCTATGTTCAAAAAAAAGGTTATAAAAAGATCAATTTACTGTAAAACTAGAATAGCAAGAATGGTTCCATGCAATCACCATTTTTTTAAAAAAAAATTAGAGTGACGGCGAGTGGCGATAGCCACCACCACCATTCTTAAAACACTTACCCTTCTCTCTCATCACGATCCTTTCCTGTTTTTCTTTTTCTATTTTCCTTAGGCATTTTCGCAAAGAAGAAAAGAAAAGTTATTTGATCGACAACGCGTAAACAACTCAAGCAATCTCTCTCATCCCCAAATATATTTTAAGTAGGTGTGATGTTTTTAAGTAGGTAGATAAAATTAATAATTATATAATACAGTCGTTGAGATGATCAAAATCGACAAAATTTTTTACATATTAGTATGACAAAGAAGTTTTACCGCAAGGAAAAAATTGTTCTTTATTACCAAAAAAAAAAAAAAAAAAAAAAAAAAAAAAGATAATATAAATAATATAATAAAATAAATAAATATATGACATGGACTAATCACATATTGTACTGCTAATTCAACATTTTTGGTTGAAGTTTATTTCTTTTTAATAAGTAAATTTCTCTTTTTTGTTCACTGTAACAAAGTTTCGCTTTTTATAGATGACAATGGTTGTGACATTTTTTTTCTTTTTTAATACATAACCATCCAAACAACAAGACTTATATCTTTTAGAATTTTATAAAATATTTAAAATCGCAGAAACAATTATACGTTTTATTGTACAGAAATAGTCTTATTACAATTTTTAGACCATGGAAAATAATCATAACGATATATTGTATTAGTATGATTTGTTTGTTGGTTATCTATCACGTGACTTAATTGTAATTATTATTCAAAAAATTTTACCAAAAATTCGTTCTCGTTCTATTAATAAACTCGTTGTGACAAAAATTTGTTGTAACAATATTCATTGTAACAAGGGTTGACTGTATATCCAATCTAATAGTTCTTGCAACTGAATTAATATTACATCATCTTTTTATATATCCAATATTTTACTTCTCATAAAGCCTCAATTACTGTGATAGATTTTCATTTTCATTATAATAATGTTTATTTTAACTCATGGTTAAACAAATCAATATTAATCTACTTTTTATATGATTTAATACTTGGGCAATATACTTATCAGCCATAAATGTCTATCTATGATGCAGTTAATATTGTTAATTTGACTTTATAGATCATCAATTTAAATAACAATTTTTTAATTATGTAGAAACAAATTTCATGTTTTTTATAAGAAAATTTGAGGTCTTTAAGATATCTAATATTAATCTATATTAAATGTCACGAGATCAATAGTTTTCTTTCTCGTAATATTTATTACACACAGAAATAGGACGGCAAAAACTGAAGTTCTGGGTGCACTTTGGTAATTTGTGCATCATGGGCAAAAAAATCAAGTCAGACGATAAGGTGAGGTTCTATTCTCATATTGTAATGACTTTATAATGGTTGAAGTCAACTAGGCATCTAGCGAGGATCACATCAGATGGGCCACAATTAGGTAGCTTAATCCCTGAGTGCTAACATTTTTTAGTTCATTGCTTGCTTAATTAATTATACTTTAGTTATAATTCTATGAAAGGCAACAAAAAATTAACAAACTAAATCTTGTCCGAGTCTCATGAATAAACCTACGGTTTAAATGAGTAAGTTTATGCTCCCTCAAACTGATGATGCTGATTTAAGCAAGCGCATGCACAATCAGTTAATTGTGAATCAAATTTTGAGTCTTTACTTCTCAAAAAAATCTGATTTAAAGATCTGCATATATTAAGCAAAGCGCTTAGTTCCTCATGGCAAGTTACATAAATTACATACGTCATTATAAAAATTCCTTTCTGCTTCTTATTTTTTTGATATTTTTAAATAGTTAATCATTCTTCGAAATCATTTGATTCATTTGATTGATTATAAAATTTTAGAGTGTTTAATATTATTTGTCATTAATTCCGTCAATTATTATTATGTGGAAATGCACAATTTATCTTGAAATATAAATATTATAATGAAGGAGCAAGAGATGGTAGCAATGTCGAGAAATACAAAATATTTCATTCAATTTTTCACATTAAATTAATTAATTAAAACCAATGTAACTTTTTATTTTATTTAGAAAGAAAAATTTTTTTTTACATAAAATTTATGATCTTTTAATTTATATATTTAGAAAAATCTTTTAAAGAAAGAAAAGATAATTAGAAACTAAAATTTTTATTTATTTAATACTTGTAGTTGTCATATTTGTAGTCTTTCTTGTCGTCATATTTATGGTCGTCATATTTGTAGTCGTAGTCTTTCTTGTCGTCATATTTATTATAGTCATATTTCTTGTCGTAGTCGTAATCGTAGTCTTTCTTGTCGTCATATTTATTATAGTCATCATATTTCTTGTCGTTGTCGTAATCGTAATCGTCGTCTCCTCTCTTCACTTTATATTTATAGCTTCTCTTATTATAATCTTTCTTATCATCATATTTCTTGTCGTAGTCGTAGTCGTAGTCTTTCTTGTCGTCATATTTATGGTCGTCATATTTGTAGTCGTAGTCTTTCTTGTCGTCATATTTATGGTCGTAGTCGTAATCGTAGTCTTTCTTGTCGTCATATTTATTATAGTCATCATATTTCTTGTCGTTGTCGTAATCGTAATCGTCGTCTCCTCTCTTCACTTCAGATTTATAACCTCTCTTATTATAATCTTTCTTATCATCATATTTATCATAGTCGTCATATTTCTTGTCGTGGTCGTAATCATAGTCTTTCTTGTCGTGGCCGTAATCATAGTCTTTCTTGTCGTCATATTTATTATAGTCATCATATTTCTTGTCGTTATCGTAATCGTAATCGTAGTCGTCGCCAGCATATCTTTTAACTTTAGCCGCATAGAAATTAGATGTATTAATAGATTAGATTTTTCAATTTTTTCGTAAGATCAATTCAATTAATTATATTTTACCTTCATCGTAACGGCGACGTTCTACAACTTTTCCATTTTCACCGGTTTCGATTGGACTGGAAAGAGAAGAGGAGGCGAGAAGAGCAATAGTAAAAAAGTAGAGAACTGATTTTTTATGCATTTTTAATTGATTTTTTTTTTTGAATTTGAAAATTCTAAAATTTATTTATTAGTTTTTAATCCTTTGATTGTTGTGGATTGATTTGAAACCAAAGAGAATTCCACCCATATTTATATTGAAAAAATCTCAAGTTCTCTATCATCGTTTAGTAATAAATTAAGGAGATAAAAATTAATCTAAAAATAAAAAAGTTTTAAAGAAATTTAAAGATCAAAATTTAATTATTTTAATAAATTTCAAAATAGGAAAAAAACATTGATTTAAAAAGTTTTTGATTATTTTAACGAGCTTTTTGATTTTTTAATCTTTAAAAAAGTCAAGATTTTTAAATCTTAAACATTTGTATTGTATGAATTAATTAGCATTATTGAGTATTATTATTTATTATCATCACTATAATTCAGTGATTTAATTAAATTATAGATTTGAATTTAGATTTTGATTTCCTTCCTTCTTTCACACACTCTTATTTTCGATAATTAATTAATTAATATTCAAATCATTTTTAAAAAATTTGATAAATTGATTTTTCCCCGTAAAAATTGATTTGATACACACTAAAAAATTTTAATTAAATGGGGATTTCACGTGACTAAAAAGTAATAAAAAATTCAATTAATGTGTACAGGCATGGCTGACTTTTATGTTACACGTGACTTTGATTTTTTTGAAAAATTTTAAATCATTAATATTAATGTCTTTTTTCCCATTATTCCAAGTCTTATGCCACTAAAATAGCAACGAATGCCACTCACGTATACAAAAACCGACTTATTTATTATATCCTAGCAGCTAGTTGGAGGGATTGACCTGGTAGTATATAGCAGTCGAACACAAAACGAAAGTCCAAGCACAAATGTTATTATAAATTTCAAATTGAATGTCTTCAACCCCTTGTTTTATACCCTTATTGTATCATATCAGTTGTCGTCAAATTCCACAAAATGTTTTTTCTTTATATATTCTTTGCCTTGTAGGAAAATTTCAATGATAATAAAAACAAAGGAAATGTCTTGAAGCGAATTTTATACGTTATACTTGTGGGCAAAACTATAGACTTTTGACAAATTATGATGTTTAATGGCGAAATGTTGAAAAGTTTGTACGAAATATTATTTGGCTATATAGCCGGAAAATCTTTTGTAAACGGTATCACGTGTTTTGATATGAAAGTACGCTGGAACTTTCGACAGATCGATTTTTAGTTTCGCCCACAAGTATATCATACTTTGTCATGATTTAATGTGTCATATATACTTCATCGCATTCAAAATCTAAAACCACGATTTATTTTGCTATAAATTTGAAGTAGCATTATATATGGGCGCCTAAATTGTTTTTGCTAAATGTCTAAATTAATACACAGTGAGTCTCGATTTAACGGATATTTTATCCGTTAAATCGAGAGATCCGCTGAATCGAAACTTGTGTACATACAAAAAAAAAACAAAATATAACATAATAATAATAATAATAATAATATTGTATGTATATTGCAATGTGCAAGAAGAATAATTATCGTGGAAGTTTACAATGTTATAATTTGAATTAGAAATTTTACTTGATTTATCTGTTTTTTCCGTATATTTTCTTTCAGAATAAAAATGCCTCTTCTTTTTTACAAATTAAAACTATCCTTTTATTATTACATTTCATATAATCAAATTGACTTTACATACATATAAGTTGTGTTAAATTATTAATTATCTTTGACTTTTGAAGTTAACTATGCGTAATAGCGATACGCAATAATATCAATAATGTGCTTGAGCTGTCTTTAATGTCTGAGTTTGAAGCAATATAGATCGATTAATATTTGGTAATGACCTTTACATAGCACATAAGACAGGTTTGGTACATATTTTTGTAAGTTTTAATTTCGTTTCCAATTTTTATCACTTTAAATCTTCAAAGAATTTTTTTTATTGTTGAATCATGATAAATCGATTGGTGATGATGAAGTTTAAATAATAGGCAATCAAATTGTACGAAAAAAATTGCTCGTTACACATTACTCAATTCTCCGCAAAAATCTCCACATTCATTAAAACACCAAGTCGAATTTTATATTTTATATTTTATATAATGTCGTATGCTAGACTATTATCATCATTATCACAAGAAAGAAATGATTTTGTACGTAAAATTGATAATGAAATGTATAATAATGCAATGGTTAATTCTGATAGAGAAAGTGGAAAAAATTATTTTTTTTCATTGGTCAAAAAAAACAAGGAGCTTTCTGGAAATGAAAAAGAATTTTGTAAAGAAAGGTTTATTTATGAGTTTGAATTACATAATGCAATGTATGAATTAGGAAAACCAAAAGAATGTAACAAGTGTAAATTGACAAGATATTCTGATAGGTTCTGTGAAAGTTGTATTAATTTAAAATTACAGAGTCTTTTCACCACTTGGACATCTGGAAATAACATAATTGATGATTTTATTCAACAATGTCAAGTGGAATTATCTCTGCCAACTCACATTTTAGAATGGATACCTTTTGAACAATTTGAAAAAGTAACAAAGTTGACAGAAGGTGGATTTAGTTCAATTTATACTGCTACATGGACTAGAGGAACGATGGATGATTACAACGAAAATAAAAAGGAATTTAGTTATTGTGGATTGCAAAGAGTAGTATTAAAAAATTTAAATAACTCAAGTAATCCAGGAAAAGCTTTTTTTGATGAGGTTGGTAGTTGTTTATTTAAACAATACTGTATTATATAATAAATACTAATTGATTTTATATTTAATTACAGGCAATGAATTATTGTAAAATTAA